CATAGGAGGGGCAAATCCCATCTTGATTATTCATATCCCACTACATGTTTCATAGCATACCCGAAAACTACTTTTATAATTACCCAATTACGGAGTAGTGTTTAGCAGTCCCTAAGTAAGCTACTACACATGTTGGGAATCATGATAATCTCAGGTCTAAGGATTCAACACCAACACTAAATGAGATCACTGATGACACAACACATATGGCTTTTGTAGTGTCTCATGTTGGATCTATCCAACATCATGTTCACCAATATATGTCCACATTATTAATTTGGTATCTCTATACCATGATCCATGAAACATGATCATCAATTAATATGATCATCTAAACATATTTGTTCCACATATGATATTTGATCAGGGATCCTTTAAAAATAGCAACACACAACATAAAGAGTCTCATGAAAGAATCACATATTCATTAACCAATAATGAGTTTATCTATTTCAAGTAACAAAGTCAGATAAATATATAAACATAGTGTGTGATACAATCATCTCTATGATTGCCTGTAGGGCATATCACTAACAGCTCGTCACCATGGCCATCGACACGTCGTCATCTTGTGAAGGATAGCGCCGAGCTCATGGGAGGCAACCATGCATATTTGACCTTCTTTACTATGATCATTTAAAGATAATTCTAGTGAAAGAAATCTAAGGTGGCGCCGCTAAGGAATGTTGTTTTTTTTATGTCAATGATTCTTTCAACAATTAATCTTGAACAGTCATTTCGCAATTTATTTGGCAATTCCTAAGATGCCGGTCATTGTGTCAAGCTACCACCTCATTGTGCATGTCGCTGTGCTCATCACAATGGCCATGAACGCATCATCGTCTTGTGAAGGATAGTGCGGAGCTGATGGAGTGTGTGTTTGGTTCGTGGTAAGCCTGGATAGGATATGATCATCCATATTTAAGGGATATGTTGGTCTTATTTTTTGTTTGGTTGTGTGAATATGGCCATCTAGTTGCTTGTTCGATTGGGTGGATGAGAATGGATTGAATGAAAAGGACACCATATTAATTAATAATAAAATATGTTAATTATCATTAATATAGCTATAATTTATACTAATTAACAATAAAATAGACTAATATATCTAATCAACACTAATTTTGACAAGTTAATCACTAATTAACAACAAAATACATTAATTATTGCTAATCAAGAACTAATGATTAAGATTAGCAAATGTGGATATCCTTATCTGGCCAATTTTGCCGGATACACTCATCCAACATCTTAATGGGATATTCCTTCTCTGGACCGCCCTATACATCCTCACCCACCAACCAAATACACTTAAAAACTAGATCGTCCCCAATTAAACACACCTGAAGGGGAGGCAACCATATTTGACCTCTCCAGCCGCCAACATCCGAAGCTTCCTCAGGCCTTGTTCGGTTTGAATGAGATTGAAAGGGATTGAAGGATATCAAAGGAAAATAATTCCACATCACAATAGATATGGAATAAATTCCTTTTAATTCCTTCCTTTTGGGGTTTAACCTAACATTAGACTCATGGGGTTTGGTAATGGTCATATCCAGCCGCATAATTAAAGATAAGTCACCTTCTTTACTATGATCAATTAAAGATAATTCTAGTGGAAGAAATTTAGAGTGGCGCTGCTAAGGATTATTGTTTTTTTTATAGCAATGATTCTTTCAACAAATAATATTGAACACTCATTTTGTTGCTTATTTTACTGACACTCTATTTTCTTTGGTGGTTTGTGCATATATTTGTCATTTCATTTAACAACCCCAAGTACTATCCCTAATGAATTTCGAAATTGGCAAGTTGGTGTTGGAGGAAAAATAATATGGCAAATTATTCTGGGACCAGGGTTCCAAATACGTATACCGGTTTGTCCGAGATAACCAATCATCATTGAAAAAAAAAATCCAAATCAAATTCATATAGCCTTCCCGGCCAGTAAGATAATATAACTGGTACTAGTACTTTCGGGCCATTTTATTTACCAACTGGTGGTATTTCTCTGGAACCTTTATGGGGATACCTATCAAGGAAAGGAATTATCTTCGCTGTAGAGGCTAGAAATTCTCACATTAATTGGTGAAAAAGAAAAGAAGAGTACAAGTAGAAATACAATCTAAAAATAGCTGAAATTCGGAATTAAAAGTATGCAATATTTAAAGAGGAGTCCATATAGGAACCCAATACGTGAGTAATTAAAATTCGGAATAAAAATAAAATAAATTTTGAAATTAGAAAAAGAAGAAAGAAGAGTTTGAGTAGGAATACAATTTAAAAATAACTGAAATTCGGAATTAAAAATAAGAAATATTGAAAGAAAAATCCATACAAGAATCTAATACAAGATTAATTAAAATTCAAAATAAAAAAAAAATCGAAATTAGAAAAAAGAAAATAAAAAAAGAGTTCAAGTAGGAATACAATTTAAAATTAACTTAAATTTGGAATTAAATATAAGCAATATTGAAATAAGAGTACATATAAGAACCCAATAGTAGATTAATTAAAATTTAGAATAAAAAATAAAATAAAATCCAAAAGTAGGCATATTAAAAAGAGAGTTAAAGTAGGAATACAATTTTTGAAACAACTGAAATTGAAAATAAAAAATAAAAATATCAAAAGAACATAATACAAAAAATAAAATAAATTCTGAAATTAGAAAAAAAGATTTCAACTAGTCATACAATTTATAAATAACTACAATTGGTGATTAAAAAAATAAGACTATTGAAAAAAAAGATCATCTACAACAAATGACGAGATTATTTAAGTAACAGGGCCTATAGAGAAGTAGAGTGGTGGCGGTTGATGAGACATCTAAAAACTATTAATAAAACACCAAATAGAATCCTAATGACGATTAAAAGGAAGAACGACGTGCATGTCGTGAAGCAATCGGTCAAAGCGGTTGGCAGGGACTTCTAGAAAGTTAAAAAATAAACCCCAATGATAATCATGTTTGATTTTTAAAATCTCAATTACAATAAAAATGAGAGGTGGTGGGAGGGTCGTATAGGAGTACAATGGCAGAGCCGCTGATGGTTGGTGGGTCTTTTAGAAAGTAAAAAAATGAATTCCAATAATAGTTATGTTCGATTTTTACAATCCTAATGACAATAAAGAGTATACGGCGGATGGGTCGTAGAGGAGTATAGTGGTAGTGTTTGACTGAATTTCTAAAAATTATAGAGAAACATGAAACCCAGCGAGACAATAAACTCTCAAAGCTATAAGGTTCAATTTTTAAAGGTTCGGGCTTCTAAAAAGGTAAAAAAAAAAATAAACCTCAATGATAATCATGTTTGATTTTAAAATCTCAATGACAATAAAGAAGGGCGGCAGCGAGCGAGCCGTAGAGGAGTACAGTGATGAAGTCGCTGATGTTTTGGCGGAACTTCTAGAAAGTAAAAAAATAAACCTAAATGATAATTATGTTCGATTTTTAAAATAGTAATGACAATAAAGAGAAGATATAGTGGACGATTGTAGAAGAGTATAATGGCAGCGTTTGACGGGACTTCTTGAAATTATAAAAAAGAAGCCTAACAGGACAATAAACTCTAAAAACTTATGTAGTTTTTAGATCCAATTTTTAAAGGTTCCAAGGAGAATAAATAGAAACAGTGGTAGATCGAGTAAGCTAATAAAGAATAATATGACAGAAGTAAGAGGTGGAAACTGGTGTGACTTTTAAAAACTATAAAATTAGAAACACAAGGATGATAAGGTATGCAGTGGATGATTGTAGAGGGTGTATAATGACAGCGTTTGACAGGACTTATAGATATTATAAAAAAAAGAAGCCTAACATGACGATAAACTCTAAAAACTATAAGTTTTTTATTCAATTTTTAAAGGTTTCAAAGAGAATAAATAGAAACAGTGGTAGATCAAGAAAGCTAATAAAGAATAATATGACAGAAGTAATGGGAAACTACTGTCGCGACTTTTAAAAACTATAAAATTAGAAACATGAGGATGATAAGGTTTGGTCTTTTAAAATCTTAAGACATCGAGATAATTATTTAATAAATTTTAAGTAAAATCATATTAAAAAATATATAATTTTGTATGGATATTAGTCACGCAATTCCGCGGGCCACCCAGCTGGTTAACATTATACGCCAATTTTTTATGAAGATTTAGTAACATGATCTGTGTGAGAGTTGAGACTTCTTTATCTCCTAAACGTTTTAAGGCGTACCGTCTTTAATTTGTTTTAATTTGTTTCAGTTTTTGTAATACTAATAAATTTTCACGGATGCAGAGGCGCCCAATAGACCTAGCTACCACTGTCTAGAAAGAACTACTAGTACTTATACATGTGCAAGTACTAAAATATTTCTACAAGCACATTAATTTAGCTTAATAAATTAAATAGGATTGCTTACCGTGTGTCTCTTGATTAGGTCTGCACCATGAAGTTGGACGGTGGTCAAATGGTTATTACCTTATAACAGTTCTGTCTTCAATGTTACTAGAGTATTACCTAAATTAAAACAAAGTTCTCCTTCTGTATCATTATAACCACTTCATCCGTTTCATATTATAAGTCATGTGATTTATAAAAAATCTATCAAAATATATTCAATGTTAGATGTACTATATTTTTTATAAATTGGTCAAACTTTGAAAAGTCAAAATGACTTGTAATATAAAACAAAATGAGGAGTAATTAACACCTACAAGCTAAGTTAGTTTTGCAATATACACTCCACATATAGCACAAACATACATATAGCACAAGCATCTGGACTAGATATTCCATCTGAATCCTATAAACTTATCTTTTGTATACGAATGTCAGATTTTAGATGCGATATGTTCAAATTAGATATAGTTCGTGAAATGTTGAGAGCCAACCTCCATTGGCACTTAGTTTAGAAGAAATGAAGTTATAAGGCATTCAAATCGACCATATCGAATGAATTAAGATCAGATATAACAAAACGCACAAATCATCAATCCTTTAATTACCAATAAACATCTCACAAGCTCACACGGCATGATTAGTAATAATTAATTAATCCATGATCAAACATTACATTACATTACATTACATTACATTACGTTACGTCACGTTACATCAACTGGTACAAATATAATGGGGGGCGAGGTAGCTAGCTACAGCCAGCCATTTATCAAAATGATGACGACGCGACATGTTCGTCACACAAATCAAGCCCTAATTACATTCATTCATACATACATACATAATTAATCATCTACATATATATATATGAGATTAATTATATATCTGTTCGTGGCTTAGCTCCACACACGCAGCTGCCAAAATTGGAACTAAGCACGATCATCGGATGACGTCATCAAACCCTAGTCTCTTGCAAGCTCAAGGAGGAAGACGAGACTAAAACGAAGCTTAATTAGCGTAGGTAAGACGTGGTCGGCGAGATCAGGCGGCGCGGCGGCGGCGGGGGGTGGCGGCGGCGGCGAGAGGGGTCTTCATCTCGAGGGAGAGCTTGAGGACCTCGTCGAGGGACACCGGCGGCGAGCCGTCGGGGAGGAACCAGTCGAAGGCGTGGACGAGGCGGGCGACCCAGAGGGTGACGGTGGCGAGGCCGAGGTTCTTGCCGGGGCAGACGCGGCGCCCGGCGCCGAACGGCGCCAGGCGGAGGTCGCCGCCGCGGACGTCGACGTCGGCGCCGCCCTCCGACGGGATGAACCGCTCCGGCGCGAACGCCTCCGGGTCGGCCCACACCTCGCCGTCGTGGGTGATGGCCCACATGTTCACCATCGCCGTCGTGCCCGCCGGCACCACCATGCCGTTGGCGAGCCCCACGTCGGCGGTGGCCAGCCGCGCCCAGCTCAGCAGCGGCCCCGGCGGGTGCGCCCTCAGCGTCTCCTTCACCACCGCCTGCAGGTACGGCATCCGCGCCACGTCGCCGTCGCTGGGACACCCGTCGCCGCCCACCGCCGCGTCCACCTCCGCCCTCAGCCTCGCCTGCACCGCCGGGTTCCTCACCACCTCCGCCATGCACCACTCCGTCACCAACGCCGTCGTGTCCGTCCCACGAAATATCATCTCCTGCCAAAATACACAAAAACATTTTTAAAAAAACATTTGAGTTTGAAATGTTTGAGTAGAATTTGTTTTTTTTTTTTTTTTTTTACCCAGAGGACGGCGACCATGTCGTCCTCGGCGAGGTTCTCGTGGGCCTCGAGGGAGAGGAGGACGTCGACGAAGTCGGCATTGTCGGCGGCGGTGGAGGAGGAGTCGCGGCGGAGGCGGTGGTCGCGGATGACGCCGCGGACGAACGCCTGGACGCGGGGGACGAGCGCGGCGCAGCGGCGGGCGACGTGGTTGGGGTCGTAGAGGTGGGCGAGCCATGGGAGGTGGTCGGACCAGTTGAACGCGCCGAGGAGCTCGAACCCCTCGCGCACCATGCTCTTGAGCTGCTCGGCCTCGTCGGCGGCGGCGCCGGAGGAGGAGGAGACGTCGTAGCGCCGGCCGAACACGCTGCCCATGATGTTGTTGAGCGCGGCGGCCTGGAGGTGGGGGCGGAGCACGACGGCGCCGGTGGCGGACTGCTCGGCGGCCATGGCGGACAGCATCGCCGTGGCGTCGGCCTGGCGCCCCGGCTCGTGCGCGGCGACGCGGCGAGGGGAGAAGAGGTGGGTGGAGGCGATGCGGCGGAGGAGGCGCCAGTACTCGCCGCTGGGGGCGAACCCGATGGCGCGCGCGAACAGCAGCTCCCGCGCCGAGCGCTTCAGCGGGCGGTCGGCGAACGACGGGTGCGCGAGCACCTCCCTCGCCGTCGCCGGGCACGACGACACCACCGCCGGCGTCTCCCCGACGGAGAACGCCATGAGCTCCCTCGCCCGTGGCGCCGCCGCGTCGCGCGACATCGCGTCGAGCGCGCGGTGCGGGAGGCCCCGGGAGAGCGCGAAGATGCTGCCGAACACGGGGAGCCCCCGGGGCCCCTCGATGGGCGTCGCGCCGAGGCGGCCGCGGCCGTGCGCCCACGCCGGCCCGCCGGGGGACGCGGCCCAGGCGAGCACCGCGGCGGTGGCGAAGGCCAGGAGGACGGCGCCGGCGAGCAGCGCCGGGTGGGCGCAGAGGGTGTCGGCGCCGAGGAGCGCCGGGAGGGCGTACGCCCACCACGTGGCGTCGACGCAGGAGGAGGCGGTGGCGGTGGCCATTGCCATGGCGGACACAAGGTGTTTGTGGTTTTGCTTGTGTGGCTCGAGCTCGGGAGTTGGGCTGTTTGGCTTGTGATGAAGTGGGGTGGGAAGGATTGGGTGGAGGTGGTATTTATAGGGGTGACCAGAATGGCCTAAAATAAAAGGATGATGAAAATGTGGATATGTCACGTGTACTCCCTCCGTACTACTCGTAAAGAAAGTTGTTTCGTATAATGTTTAAATCAAACTTTACAAATATAAATCATAAATCACTCTCAAGTTGTTGAATTTGAAAATGTAAAATTATATGAATAGATTTGTCTTGAAAAATACTTTCATAAAAATATACATATATCACTTTTTATTAAATATTTTTATAGAAATAAGAAGTCAAAGTTGTATTTTAGAGACCATGTCGCTGTCCAAAACAACTTACTTTACGAGTACGGAGGGAGTAGTAATATACCATTTAACATTTTGAAAACAACGGTATATAATTATTCATCATTTTTCGACTTGTATTTAGATCCAGAAGTGTAAAGTTTTTGCGTGCCACATCAGATATACAGGCACACATTTGAAATATTAAATATAGTCTAATAACAAAATAAATTACAGAATCCACCTGTAAACCGCGAGATAAATTTATTAAGCCTAATTAATCTATTATTAGTAAATGTTTACTGTAGCACAACATTGTCAAATCATGATGTAATTAGGCTTAAAAGATTTGTCTCGCAATTTACACGCAATCTGTATAATTAGTTATTTTTTTATATTTAATACTTTATGTTTGTGTCCAAACACTCGATGTGACAGGGTGTAAAATTTTACTAGGGATCTAAATAGGCCTATAGTGCTATATACTCCCTCCGTCCCAAAAATATAAGCATTTTTAGCTTTAAATCTAGACAAAAAATGCTTATATTTTATAATGGAGGTAGTACTACATTTAGGCAGAGTTCGTTTTGGGGGTGGACGTGTGGTAACTCCGCTCCGTTGAAAGTAAAACGAGATAAGACATTTGTTTATGATTAATTAATTACTACCTCCGTTTTTTAATAGATAACGCCGTTGACTTTTTGTCACATGTTTGACCATTCGTCTTATTCAAAAATTTTATGCAAATATATATGATATAAATCACACTTAAAGTACTATGAGTGATAAAACAACTCATAACAAAATAAATTGTAATTATGTAAATTTTTCTAATAAGACGAATGGTCAAATATGTGAGAAAAAGTCAATGGCGTCATCTATTAAAAAACGGAGGGAGTATTAATTATTATAAAATTTTAAAAATATGTTTACTTGTTTTTTCTTAAAGCTTCTTCTATTAAATGGTTTTCACCGAAGTGATTTTTATATATTATTTATATATACACTATTTTTTGAGAAAAACAAATGGTTAAAAACCAATCTCATCATTTATTTTAAAATATACTAGGTAGGATTAATGTCAAGAAAAAAAACATTAAGAGAGAACAAGTGTTAGCTTTGATTGCTACTCGAGAGAACAGAGAGAGTACACTTGCCTACCCTACATGTTTTAAGCCGGGACCCATATAGTTGTTTGTTTGCTTGTCTGGATAGCTCCCCACGCCCTACTTGCGTTACTCGGGCCACCGATAATACTCACCTGATTTAATCTGACCACATTTTGCTTTGTTGTTTGATTACATGTTGGTGTAATTTTACTGGTGAACGTTAATATGTAGCTAAGTATTTAAAACTTTTACTCATTGCTCGGATCTCAAAAAATATACGTACGGACTATAATTATAGGGTTATTTTAAACGTTTACCCCGCGTTGTTCGAGAAAGACGCCTACTACTATAAAACTAGATATTGTGGTGACGGGTCACGTGTGATAGGTTAGAGCAACCCGTCTCGCAAGACCTCATATTTGGTTACAGGAGAAGGCCTGTCGTGGAAGTGGCTTTATCTAATCTATAATGGGTTAAAGTTATAAACCATCAAAGATCATTTGTGATAGCTGGCCGGCTGGGAGCTACTCCTCATTCCCCAAGCCCTTCCCCACCCCCACCCCCCACCCCCGAGCGCCGATTGCCATCTCCTCCACCCTCGAGCACTGGCTATATATGGGAAGAGTAGGAATGGACACATCGACGAGCATCTATGCACGGTGATTATGAAGAGCACACTAACAGGAACATTACGACACGGAGACAAGCACGATGACAATGGTGAGCTCTACTGCCACGAACTCTAGCATAATGGCAGGCAATTCACCACCACGACGGCCGCCCTTAGATCCATTGCGGCATTAGAATCTCATCGCCACCATGGAGAGTCCTTTGTCATGTACCCCCTCCCCCTAGTGTTCTATCTGTCATGAGTTTTTACCCAAATCAGTAACTTCCATGTTTTCAGTAAGCACACTTCCCGATATGCTAACCTGTGCATTTCGTGCAAAATTTTTCTATATGAAAGTTTCTTTAAATAAATAAATATATTTTTCAAGTATGTAATAGTTAGCACTTGGTACGTTAGTCATGTATTGTTCTAATGGTCTGTCTCATTTCACGTGCCATCGAGTTACTACGCCAAAATGCTACGTCAAGCACAACATTACTCCTGAAAAATGCAAGTTGCTCCATGTAGTTCAGTTGCTGCTCTACTGTACTATGTTATATTTCTCCTCAAAAATGTGTGATTGTGATATATTTCTCATGAAAGAAATGTGTGATTGTGATATATTTCTCCTAAAAAATGTGTGATTGTGATGATTGAGATCCATGTGTTTTTTTTGAGATTGTGACGAATGCGATGGCAACGAGAGACACATGCCATTTTTGTTTTTTCCTTTTACTTGTAATGTACATCAGTGACAGATGGTACAGTGTAAACTGAATTTTATTCCCCAATATCAACATCTGTGATGGGTAGTTACTTTAACGGTCACCAATGAAGGTCAGCTGTGATGGGTTAAAATAGCTACCCATCACACATGATATCATTAGTATCGGTTGGTGTTTTACCACCCGCCATAGATGGCTTTATGACTTTACCACGGTCGGATGTTAACCCACCATTGATGAGATCCACCCGATAGAGATAGAGATAAGGCATGTGGCCCGTCATGGATTACATGTTCCATACTAGTGTAGGCAGGACACCTAACCCTATCGCCACACGTCCTCTACTCCTCTGTTTGCCTCTGCCATCGCTGTGCAGCCACTGGAATCCTAGTGAACTGTGGGACGGCGGTGGTGGGGCCACACGAACCCATTAATCAACAAGGGAGACAATGGGGGATCGACGGTGAGAAGACATTGTGCCACTAGGAAAGACATAAAGATATGTACCGTCAAGGCCAAAGCTCAGTCAATGACGGCAGTGGCAGACGGCTGCAATGAGGTGCAATTGTGGTGGGTCTATGGAGCATAGTTTGATCTAGGGCCTTCATGGATATATCTTACCTCATGGCTGCGTGACCAGGCAAAATAGACTCATGAGCACAACAGATGGGATGGGGCATGGCTGAATTTGATTGTATGCATGGTTGTAGGCTCGTGGATACGGTTGTCGGCGTCATGGGTGCAGTATCTGATGCCACCCGCAAGGAGGCTACCTGGCAGTTGGAGGTGGAACAGTAAAAGCCGACTAAAGGTGTGGCAGCATCCTGCATGTGGATGGATAAACACCTTGGTGCATTGCGATGATGATGGCAACAGTGGTTGCAAGGACACACGTGAGCCCCGAGTATGTTCAGCTGTATTAGGCTGCTCTCACAATGGTAGGTCGGTGGAGGCTAGGGCATAAGCCTCGACGGTGAAGCCTGCATGTGTTGTGCCCTCCTTGGAGCTATCTTCATTATTCCTCCCATATTGTCATGTTTAGATTCTTCAAGTGAAAATCTAATATAGCGTTGGTCGGCGATGATGGTTTTTTGCATTGGGTCCTTCCTAATGGTGTCATCATGAAAATCCGTCACTGTGTTTTGTCAATTCTTTGGTTGTGGCATGCATGGTATTGAATGGCTGAAATCTTCGAAGGTATGCTTGGTTATAGGCAGTGTCTGACTGTTGTATTTTGGGGAAGTGTAAGCTACTGCACGGATATGAGCTCTGCAATGAGCCAACGATGGCTCATGTCAGGCCCCATAAGTCGCATTTCGCTCCAGCGTGGAGTAACAAGATGTTTAGTCTGTAGGGCTCACTAGTGTGGCTTAGCCATGCCTCACTGAGACTGGTGGTCGTGAAGTCAAACCTGCAATATTGGTGGGATGTGATGTACAATGGCAATGATAACATTAGTCTAGATGAGTTATGCTTTGACGCGGGTTGGACTATTGTTCTTCCTCTAGTGCTTCCATGTGATGTCCAAGTCCATCAATCACAATGGTGATGGTGTGATGACGATAATGTAGAGTCATTGCTAGTGTTTGGGGAGTCTTTTTTGTTTCTTCAGATTTTTAGTTGGAGCTACAATGCCTGGGATGAGAGTAGCATGTTTGGTGGAGTTACCAACGGAGCAAGAAACACTAAATTTCATTTTATTGTTGGGGGGCCAATAATATTAATCTTTTAAAATTTCACAAAAGCTGCAGGAAATATATTGCAATTTTACCAAGATTGAGGGAGGCCAAGTCCTTCGACGCCCCTGGGTGGAGTTGAGTGTTGAGCTTTGTTATCCTGCTTTTGCGTTTGTTTTAATTTAGTTTAGTTTGATTAGTGTTGTTGTATTTGTGGATTTTGTCTAAATGTCCTTAATTAAGTACGCACTGTTAGGTTTGGTTTTGTTTCCCCTTTGAATGAGGCACATTCTCCTTAAAATGGTCAGCTATCCGAAAATAATGCATAATCTAAAAAGAATTAACTCTATTGAAGTATGTGTATGAATTGTTTACTCCTATAAAATATGTCATCAGTGCCAGTTGGGAAGCCTCATTAGTGCCCGTTCCTAAATCGGTACTGAACTTGGGAGACGAGGCAACGGCGGTGGCAACTCTAGCGAGACTGAGAGAGGGGAGGGGGAAGGCTATCAATGGTGCAAACAGAGCAGGAGCTCTCCGTCTCCACTCGTCGTAGCGACGGTCGGTAGGTTGAGATGGAGAATGAGAGGGAGGAGGAGAGACGGAGAGCGATAGAGAGAT